ATACTACCTTCGGTCCTAAATATAAGAGTTAGTTGATTAATTTGAGTAGATTGAGAAAATAAGTTAAGTTAGTTATTTGTAATAAATAGATGTTTTTCCTAAAATATCCTTACTAATCAAGTTTATTGGCTGAAACTACCATTATTAAAAAGACTATCTTGAAAAAATAAATAAATATGAAAAACAAAATAAATCCGAGTCTTATACTCCTCGAGTCCTTAATATAGGAACTAATTATTAAGTTAATTTTGGTCCTAAATATAAAACTTATTTCTTATATTTATTAAAAAAATTTTAAATTACTCCTATAGATACTCCCTCAACTATAATCAAGTGAGGAAAGAAGGATATTAAGAAAGATTATTATGATATTTTAGAAAAAACATGTCATATTTCTTATAATTAATTAACTTACTTAATTTCCTTAATCTAATCAAATTAATTAAATAGATCTTATATTAAAAACTGGAAGAGCATTCAAGATCAAAATAAAAATTAAATTAAATCTTATATATTAAAGACGGAAAAATAATAGTACCTCTAGTCCTAATTATAAGAGCTAGTTGACTAATTTAAAAAAATTAAAAAAAATAAGTTAAGTTAGTTATTTTAATACATAGGTGGTATTTTCTAAAATATCATTATTAATCGAGTCTATTGGCTATAACTTCTATTATTAGATGAACTATCTTAAAAAATATATGAGACAAAATAGATTAAAGTATTATAATTAGAATTAAAATAAAAATTAAATAAGATATTATATTAAAAATTGAAAAATAGTACTCCTCCGGTCCTTAATATAGGACCCAATTCTTGAATTAGTTTTGGTCCTAAATATAAGACCCATTTCTCATATTTATCAATTTTCTCTAAATTACCCCTATGGATACTTCCTCAACCATAATTAAGTAGAAAAGGGAGAGGGGGTATTAAGAAAGATGATTATGGTGTTTTAGGAAAAATGTGTCACTTTTTTTATAATTAACTAACTTACCTAACTTCCTTAATCTAATCAAATTAGTTAAATGAGTCTTATATTAAGGACAGAAAGAGTATTAAGAATAAGGGGTAGTGGAAAGCCGAGGTGGAACGCGGGCCTGGTGGCATGAAGTCCCAAGGCCCCCACAGGGAGCAGGGAGGGTAGCGGGATGCAAATGAAATGGGCGACTGTTTTTGTTTGAGCGTACGTTGGTGTCAGTCTCAGTTGTGGGCATACACACCAATTAAGGTAATTCATAGGATTTGCTATTCCTTTCTCACTCGTCATACTCCCCAAACACAAACACACATTACCGAACACACTTGTGTTGCGGAGTTATTGTGTGTGTAAATTACGGCAACAGTACTAAATACGCCGTCACGTATGACATGAAACGTCTCTCCATCCAAATCTTCCTCAATTATCCCTCCACCCTCAGTCGCTTTCCTGATTCAGTACTTTCCCCAATCAAACCAATTAACGTTTACAAAGGAATTAGAAGGAATATATATATATATATATACTCCTCCGGTCCTAATTATAAGACCCAATTGACTTATTTGAGGAGATTAAGGAAGTAAGCTAAATTGGTTATTTATAATAAATAAGTGTTGTCATTCCTAAAATATCCTTGCTAATTAAGTATATTGGCTAAAACTATCATTATTAAAAAGATTATCTTGGAAAAAAATGCATAAATATAAGAGACAAAATGGATTGGGTCTTATAATTAGGACCAAATAAAAAGTCAAATTGGGTCTTATAATAAGGACCGGAGGAGTATAACACATCCTTGTCATGTCAGCAAAACAACGAACAAATTAATGAAGAGAAATTAGCCCTATTTACCATCATAATTAAAATTACTTATAAGCACATTTTATATAATTGAGATAAAATTTCTCTCATATATTTAACTCGTATTCCATAAATTATAATTAAAAAATCATTTATAAATTATTCCAAACAAGCTTATTATCTGTACAAATTCGCAAATTTAGATAGAGCTCTAGAGAGGGCATTTCTCCATGTTTAAAGACTAAGAATTGGTTGCGTGTGGCTCAAAAATAAAATAAAATACTCGTGTAATTTAGCCCTGTAGCTAGTGCAGTGGATAGAATAGACTTAAAGAACATGAATCATAATTAAATAAAATTGTTTGCTTTTAAATGGTAGAGGGATGGATACATTATTATTATTTTATTTATTTGACAGCATTAAAGCTAGCTAATGACATAATAACACGTACGAAGAATTTGTCCGTAAGGAACGCAGAACGGTGCTATTATATTTATGCATCATTATCATCACACTCCAGCTTTGACACCTCCAAATGATTGCTTTGTTTTTTGTTTTTTCCCTTGTAACGCCAACTTATGAAACTTGCCTCCTCTAAATCTTTGAATTGCAGTTAGAGACTGTAAAAGTGTCTTAAAATCTGTAAAATCGAGGTTACAAACTGAGTTAGATAAAAACTGTTGTTTGGTTAGGCTAACTTTTCCAACTAACTTCTGGCTTTCAATATCAGTTGAACTTAACACAGAAAAATCTGATTGTTCAAACTGCAGCTTCAAAAGGTGATTATTAAAAATGAGCATCCCAAATTTACTCACATTTTTCCCTCTATCTCATTTCCTTCGTTAGCATAATAAGCTTTTATTCAGATCAAATAATTTTAATTTATATTCTTGTTTGTCCATTATGTATATTTAATTAATTATCTACAACGTGTTTTCAAATTTTTCTTCATAACAAATATTTTTATTTTATAATTTCACAAATAAACTATTTATATTTTATCATAATAATTTTACGTATTTTTTAAACTATTATCACATTAAAAACATAAAATTTCAAACGCTACTATTCAACAAAGTTTATATCGTTTTTAATCATTTTAGAACTAAACTAACTTTTTTATTAATTATCCAAATAATTTTCAATTTTTTTAACTGACTTTTTAAAAATACCTATCAAAACATACCCTAACTAATTTTTATTCTAACTTTAATTATAAAAATAAATCAGTTGAGCTAGAAGTCAATTTTGTCTAACACTAATCCAAACATACCCTAAATAGACCAAAAGAAAACAGAATGGTCACTTAACTGTGGCAACGCTAAAGACAAATGCACCCATGCAAAAGACGAGGTCGCAATTGCAGCCAATGTTTTATATGTCAGTTTCAAACTTGGATCTTATCTAGACAATATATATACTAGATATTTAATATAAAAACTGGTTTAATTTTTAATTTAGTCACAAATATAAAATCTAAATTTATTTTGTCTCTTATATTTATCTATTTTTTAAGATAATTTTTATAGTAGTTACACATGTTAAATTTTTTATCACATCGTAGTTCTAGCTAAAACACATTATTAATAAGAGCATTTTAAGAAAGACAATACCTATTTATTACAAGTAACTAACTTAACAAACTACTTTAATTAGCTCAAATTAGTTAGTTAATTGTGATATTAAGAATCAAATGTATAGTGCTATTATTGGGGTTTACAAATAACCCAAAAACTTGTAATTATTGAGATTTTTGGACTTGTAATAATTTAAATTGAATTTATAACTCATTTTTTTATGACATTTTTTTGGAGACACAAATACTGTTAAATTAAATTCATGGAGCCTAAGCGTCTTGCTGCGACACAAGCTTGTAGTCCAACGTTCTTCTTAAAAGCTGTTGGCTATTACGGTTGATTTATTTCTGGGAAATCGAAGTTCAGCTGATCTCTCACAACACCGAAATATATAAAAACAGGATTGACACCGCCTATTCTTTTGTATCTGGTTTGTTTAATGTTTAGTATGCTTAAATGGATTCCAGCTAAAAATCATGAGAGTTTTAGCTCCTGGATTTTGTTTTCTTCTTTTTGTAATGACTATCTCTTACGCATCTTTCGTGATAAGAAGGGGGTTATGATCAGTAAAAAATTATTATATCGAGCCATTCTCATCTTATCAATATATATATTACTCTTTCGGTCCTAAATATAAGGCCTATTTTATAGTGTAAATTATACTGCGAAATAAATTTACACTATAAAAGAGATCTTATATTTAGAAGCGGAGGAATGTAAAATTAAAATGATCAGTAATTATTGAGCAGCTAGTCCCCTCGCCGTTTTATAAGAAAAAGGCATCAGAAGTGAATTAAACATGGTGTCCGACACTTATGGCAGCAACCTGGTTTGATAGAAATACGTTGATGTTCAGAGGGGCAGTGAAGGAAACAAGTAATAAAATATTTAGAAAAGTCCAGAAGCGCAAGGGAGGCTATTATGATTTATGAATGAAGGTAATACTCGGATGGGAAAAATACATGTTGGGGCCCATATATTGATTCTTCCATTCTGTGTGTTTCGGCCAGAACGGCACGTCGGAACTCATTTTAGGACTCCAAAAACATAAAAGGACGAAAGGAAACTAGGCATGGCCCAAGTATAAAGTGATGCCCAAGAGTGGCAGAGCTTCCGACTTGGGGTTGACCTAGCTTGGCCCAGTCTTCATTTTCTTTTTTCTTTTTTTTGATACAGATGAAGGCTTACAGCCTAAAACATCAAATAAAAACTAAGGGGGAGTAAATCCCAAACTCTCAAGTGAGGCCCAAATGCTTCGATTGCCGCGGACAGGTATCTAAAATACAAGATTTAGATATCCCCTCCTTTGCCATAGCACCTGCCACTTCATTTTTAAAATGGGAGGACCAACGAACTATACCTAATCAAGCCAACCCAACAACAGGAAACAACGTAGTCATGAGTTCCGAATTACCAGGGAGGTCGAATTTAGTGAAAAGAATTAATTTATCACAACAGGATAACCCCAAAATTTATATTTTTATTAAAAAAAAGTATTTATATTTAGTATCCAACTTTATCTCAAATAGAATTGTCTTCGATAAGAGAATTAAGAACTGAGTTGTAATTTTTCTTATAAATTCAAGTTATGAACAATGTGACATTTTTTTTAAGATTCTACCCAACGAGTGACACACGTGTCATGCTAGATGGATAAATATACATATTTTATTGAAATTAAGAAGTGAAATGAATATAAACAGCATGTCGTGGGCGGGTCCAGACTGCAGACAAAGTCATTATTGTTACATTTGCCAACAAATAAACCGCACACACGAATCACAAGTAATGAATGATGATACGCAATCGTACTACAAGACAAGTAGAGGATGGAGCTGTCTCATGAGGCAATACCTCGTTGTGTGTCGCTGAAGGCCCACCCTGCTCGACAAACCCATGCTTATCCTCTTCTTTGATCACTCTCTTCTCTCTCTGTCGCTCTTACCCCTTTCCCACTTCCCTCCCAGTTCCTCCATTAATCCAACATGGTAACTTCTCTGCTCATTTCGCTTCCTATTTTCATCCCTCCAACAACATTCCTACAACCAGCATTTACACCCCCATTGTCTAGTTTCTCTCTCAACTTTGATTTCCCCATACACTTGTTTTATTACAGCGACCATGACTTCACGTTCAACAATGATGGTGGGTCTTAATTTTTTGCTCTACCCACAGTGTTGCAGCTCTACATATATACATAGATATAAAGAACACGATTCATGAATGGTGGATTTCTGAGGCCACACCCTTGGCCCAGAATCGTAGAAGTTTTTTCATATCAGAAGCTGAACGGAGCTTGGAAATCTTCATATTTAGTAGTGGTGAATCTGGTCTCTTTATCAGCCACGCCTCCGATAGATATGGTCTCTCGATGTCTTTCTTCTTTTCCGTTGGTTTCATAGTATGATTTTCCCCTGTTTCTGAGGCATCAATTATTTGCGTGCTCTGTTCATTTGGGCGAATATCAAGTCTCTGCAAGCCCGGGATTACACTCATCATTCGCGAGCTGATATTCTCTTTCTTGAATACGAAGCCCAGATCCATAAAACCCTTCACTTCTTCGAGTTCTAGTTCCCCCAGCGTCTTGCAGCTCATGGACTTTTGCAGCCTCTTTTTAGCTTGTTTCCTTAATTTTCCCCGTCGGTTTTGGGTTGACGGCAAAGATGAATGTGACCGAACTCTTTTACCTGAAACACTCATTAATCTAGTGGGGCCTTCTTCCTTTCCTTCTTCATCATTTGAGTCACCCTTGTAACATTAAGAACGTCAAACGAAGAACAAAAGAAGCACGGTCATGGGTCAATCCCACAGCAAAGAGAGCATGCCTGAACCGTAAAAGGTGCTAAATAATATTCGAGAGATTGGACTATACCTGCAGAGACGCTGAGATTGAATCTGATGAGACATGTTTCTTGAGGGATTCCTGAGTTGAACTTCCTTCATCTGGCAGAGGAGGCAAAGAAAGAATGGAATCAGAGGACGATGGGAAAGACAGAAATTCCGATGTAGACGAAAACGATTCGACAGTTTTGGGAGAAATTGAAGCTGTGCTTTCTCGCGGGGACAGAACAATTTGGTGAAACCAAAGGCGTTCCATTGCTTCTATAATGCTGAGAGAGTTGCTATTATTGGTCATTGAGAAAGAGAAATCGGTTTTTTGGGGTCTCCAAGGCTTCGCTTAACACTTTGATTGTTATCGCAAGAAGGGTAAACGGGATGGGGTGATGGGGATTGAAACGAGGAAGAAGCAAGTGACATCAAATGGGTTGCCCAAGTGGGTGGGACACGGCCTTAGACAAAGAAGGTTGGTTGTGGATGTGATCAACCTTGACATACATGGGACGTGGATCTTAAGCTCCGCATGTTATATGGACGAAATGACGCTTGTGCCCATGCTTCCCAGGCCAAATCACCTTCCCCACGCATGTGGCATAAAATCCAACATAAATCCAACTATGCTGAGCCAAGAAAAAATGCTCCGTCTCTCCAAGTTTGGGCGGATCCCTCACATGCAAGGAAAGAGCAATTCTCAGCAATATCTGGGATTTGGAACTTACAGAACAAATATTCTAAAATCTCTAGTACAACACAAGCTTAAAATTCAGAAGAAATATTACAGTTGTCACAGCAGCAAAATCAGATTCGCCGGCAGGTCAATCGGATGAGAGATTGGCTGGTAGATTTGGATTCAGATGCTTACTGACCTGGACAAAGCCGCAAGTTGTGCCTATTATGTTGTCTTTTCCGCATATATTTTTGCATCAAAAGTTGCTGCTGCTCTTTTAGTTCTGGGAATTTTGATTCCTGGGGCTGAGGCGAAAATATGCAATGACACGTAAGAAAGCAAAAAGTAAAGAGTTGTCACCAAATAAGCAGTAAAAAGACAAGTTTACAGAAGAATTTATTTTGTTCGGAAGCTTTTGAGGAATATGAGAGTCCAGAGACATATGCGAGCAGTCCAATGATTCATCCTATGACGGCCTGTGTGTGTATACTGTACAGCAACTACAGCCAAGAAACAACTGGGACTCACATCAGCGAGTTGTGAAGGGAAAAATATAGCTTAAAGTGATCAAATTGAATTCGAATACTGTGTGTGTCGTTTTTCAAATGGGTATTGGCTTGATGCATCTAAATTTGCGTGCTTGAGGTGATCAAATTGGGAGTCACAACCTGTTGTCCAATAAGATATTGAAATAGCTATCCAAGTGACTGTTCAACGTAGTTCTGGACATCAAAGTTCTCCTGCTCAGAGCAGTAAAGTGAATAAAAAAAAAAATTTCTGGTTTCTTCGTAAAATGACATTGATTGCTGATTTGCTCAACCGATAATAAGCAAACATAATAATTGGCGAGGATTCAAAGAAATTTTCAAGAGAAACCGATTAATCCTGGGTCCTCTCCTTTCATGATGCGTCCGTCGCTCCATTTTAACGCCAAAATATTGACAAAGATCTGGATGATTTCAGTCCGTTAGCTGGGCAATCCATTAAACAAAATGGTAAAAGAAAATACCAAAAGTCCCGTTCACCAACAGGGCATTTGGTCTAGTGGTATGATTCTCGCTTAGGGTGCGAGAGGTCCCGAGTTCAATTCTCGGAATGCCCCGGCTTCAACACTATTTTCGTCTGCTTTATCAAATACCTAAACTTAACTTTATTATCCGGGACAACAAAGCAATTAACGATAAAAGGCGGCGGGAAAGACTTGAGTGATAAATGATCATTATCACCGGGAATTTTTTTTTTTTTTAAAAGGACTTTATGAGAATATTTTATTTTCGTCTCCCACTAAAAGCAAGTTCTCAGCTCGCACGCATTCTCATTGTTGAAGATAAAAAAACCAACAAATCTGAGTGCTCTCAGAGCGTGAAGCAGGATCATTGAATAGTATCATGCCTATGACGAATTCATCAACAAAATTTCACTAAGTTTACCAACTTAGCAAACGCAACCAACAACCAAGCCAGACTCAGCAATGCACAGAAAAATACCGTTGCATCCATAAAATGGAACATAATCTCCGCATAAAATTACCATCCAAATGCCAGAATAGCTGCGTTTCATAATATCATATCATTATATATATATTAATGGATAGAATCATAGAATGACATATTCATAGGCAAGGCAAGGACATCCGATGGAATTCCACAATATCAGAAACGAAGAACAAACAAAAGACAACATCAAAAACTACATCAATAACTCCCCAGAAACAAATCTTGAACACGCAGTCAGCACCATGATGCAAGACATTCATTCCACATCCGCACCACGCAGCCTGAGGACAAGGTGAAGGGTAGACTCCTTCTGAACGTTATAATCAGCAAGAGTGCGTCCAACCTCAAGTTGTTTCCCAGCGAAGATCAGACGTTGTTGGTCAGGCAGAATTCCCTCCATGTCCTGAAATTTTGCCTTCACATTATCTATGGTGTCAGAGCTCTCCACCTCCAGGGTGATGGTTTTGCCGGTTAGAACCTACACAAAAATCTGCACTCCTCCACGGTGTCGGAGCGCCAGATGAAGAGTGGATTCCTTCTGGATGTTATAATCGGCAAGAGTCCTGCCGTCCTCCAATTGCATACCGGCGAAGATCAAACGTTGTTGATCGGGAGGGATCCCTTCCTTGTCCTGTGTCTTGGCTTTGACGTTATCGATAGTGTCAGAGCTTTCTACCTCGAGGGTGATGGTCGTGCCAGTAAGGGTTTTCACGAAGATTAGCATGCCTCCCCTCAGGCCGAGAACCAGGTGAATGACTCCTTCTGGATATTGTAATCGGCAAGAGTGCAACGGTCCTCGAGTTGCTTGCCGGCGAAGATAAGCCTCTGCTGGTCAGGGGGAATCCCCTCTTTATCCTGTATCTTAGCCCTGACATTATCAATGGTGTCGGAGCTTTCCACCTCCAAGGTGACTTGTCTTTCCACTTTCCAGTTAGGGCTTTTCACAAATATCTGCATATTCGCTCTGATGAATTGTCGATAAACAAAACAAGATCAGAAACAGATGGAGATATTTGTCAGTGATTAGAAAATTGGACGAGAGAGACTTTATATGAGAAAACATGGGCGACCTCCCGAAGATCCAAGGACCCAAGCTCAGATGGTGAAGATAGAAAACTAATTTGGGCATTAGGTATTGAGGCCTAGAAGATTCTCGCCGTTTCCGTCGGCAATGCAAGTTGCAGCTGCAGTGTTACGGGCCATAGACTGCATATTGATTGACATAGATGTCTTGCATCGCCTCATAATCTTTCGTTCTCTTTTTCTTATAGAATCTCATCTCCACTGATGAATCAGATGGTTCAGATTTAATATTTTAGAAAACAGATATCCACATTCTCTTCTCTATTAATAGTTCTATATAAAGTATGAAATTTGAATCATTTATTATTTGATCCAATGATGATCAGATATTGTGAAAGAAAAGGAGAAAGAAGGATTCTGAAAAGATCCAGATCCTTCCAGCACAGCTGCAAGTCTCTAAATTAATCATAATGCGTTGGCTGCTTAAGCATGAGGCTAAATACGGATGAGAAATCCATTCAGGACCTAAAAACACATACAGAAACATCGTTGAAATATTAAAAATCTACTTTATTCGATACTATCTGATCCCCCACATCCTAACCATGATACGTGGCGATTAATTGACTCCTCCCCCACCCCAGCACAACGCATATTGACCGAAATTCTGAAAGCAAGCATACATGATTGATCTCAAGGCTTCACGTAATTGACCCTGAAGCCATGAACAAATGCATCGACTCTAAGTAGCATTGCTATTACAATATTCAAAACCTCGAAAAGAAAGAAGTCAATTTCCTTCAATTTCATGAATATTCGAATGTATATTATATGTACAAAATGAGATAGCGAAATACTGCAGAATGAATTTAAGTTATTTATCCTTCATCTCATCAGGAAGAGCAGAAGCTTTGCAGATAGGACATATGTTCTTCATAGATAACCACTTTCTAATGCAGCTCACATGATAGTCATGGCCGCAACCTCTCAGTGTCCCAACATCGTCCATGTACTTGTAATCTTCCTGCAATTTTTTAAATGAAAAACAAAACCCATTTAACGATTAGTCAGTTTATTACACAAAGAATGAGGCAAAAGAATGTGGTGGTTTTGACTTTAACACAACCTCATATGACTCCACTAAACAAAAATAAGCTTGGCACAGCAGCATGGTCCCTCTCTAGAATTTAAACGGAGCCCAACTGTGTGTAATTTAATGGGACGATGGCCCAAAAAAAAAAAAAAAAGAAGGGACAACCACATTTACGAATAGCGGTCATTCAATAATCAAATGCAGTTGCCCTCATACATTACTGGCAGAATTGCGAAATCCAAAGAAGTGGTCTTTCATTGCCCAAAGTTTAAGGTTTAGTGCATAATTTATTTCAGGGGAGGAAGAAAAACATACCAAGCAGATCACACAACTTCCTTCCTCTTGACTCTGCTCGGACGAACAATATATTGATTCTGTCAAACACTTGGAAATCAACTTCTCAGACAATCCTGTGCTGACATGACCAATCCTCTCTCCCAGAGCAAGTAGTTCCTGGTCAAGCCAACCATCCAAAAATGCAGAACTATTTTACAAATGCATGCCTTTGATAACAGTTGTAAGTGGGTTATTCAAGATTAAAACAAACATAATCACCTCATAACTCATATTGTCTATGTCCATCCTCATGTCCCTATGTTGATCAATCATATTTCGAGAACCATAAAACGGCGCACGATCAACAACCATGAAACCCTGCAATCCAAAAAAACCAAACTTCAGCCGGTTAAACATTTTTTTGGGGAGCAAAACACAGTCAATTTTATTAATATTCCTTCAGCCTGTTAAACCTAAAGGTGAAAGAAGCAGAACGATGCTGCTTATTCACATATAGAGAGAAGGGAAGGTGCTAATGCACCAAACATCACTACTTTTTTTTTTTTTTCTGGCCAAACAAACACCACTACTTCAGGTTAACCAAATAGAGCCAGTTGAAGACAAGACAAATGGGTATTTCCAAAATTGAAAATGTTTCATATTCCGAGTTCTGACATGAAAACTCAGTTCACCAAGATACCAAGAAATACCTCAGAGGAAAATCGATCATGAAGAATAGCCTCATCAGCTAATGTTCGATATCTCTCGCTAGATATCCTTGACCTCCCGTTTCTATCAGTATTCCGCGAACTGACGGCAGTCAATGGCCTTGGATGTCTAGAGATTAAACCTTCAGCTCCCATGTGCAATCCACCATCTGAAGGCATCATATGTCCCACGCATGAGCTTGAAGAGGCTCTAAAAGTTGGAGTTGGTGTTGGAGTAGATCTTTGGGAATAGTTACTTCGAACTCCCCTAGCAGGGTGAGTGAGATTACTGTGAAAACTTTGAGGAACAATAGGATTTATGCTTGTATCATATTCATGATGGTAACTCCCAGCGTCTACCGAAGCATTACTAACACCACTTCCAACCAGCAAGCGACTTGGCTCATGATTATATCCACTTGATTCTGCAATGTCAGGCAACGATCTCTAGCGTAAGATAAAAAGTGAAGGAAATTGGGATAATTCATATCTATTTCGATTCTACTAATTAAGGTCTAATAAACCAACAAAAAAAAAAGGAAAAATAATCTATAAACTAACCAGATAATAATACCCTCCCAGGAGCCGGAGACATGTTCATTTGGCTCCAGTCCCTTGGCACAGTATTAGAACTATGACCAGAAAGACCCACAGAGCTAGAATGATCATTGGACGGGCCAGAAGATGAGTTGTGCAAATGGTTGCCACATAAATGCGTCCTAGCAAGGTTGGATTCCAAATCAAGTGCAGAACGACTTCTAACATTCCTTAAAGAACCCTCACCCCTGATTGAAAGGCCACTGCCTCTGAAGGGGGGTGTCATAGTAACATGATCCCAAGGCAGAAATTGAGAATCCAAGCTTGGCTTCTCCTGCCTTATTTCTGAAGATATAGGGAGATCAGTTGAGCTTCCTGCACTGAAATATCTGCTTGTACTGCCTCTCTCACAAACTGAAGGAATTCCAGGGCTCTTTCGCTTGTGAGGCCCTCTTCCACTCCCCATGGTGAAATCAAAGAAATCACCATCAGCAACATGAAATGCTTGTCTATCACAATTGGAAGAAGGCTGGTGAGCATAGTTTTCAGAAACTGCGAAAAAAGCTCCAGGATTTGATGAACGTAAATAATGATCATGAGAAGATCTTGATGCATCTGATTGACGAGGGGGTAATTCAATGTTGATACTTGAGGATGCATATCCATTTGACATCGCGGCATTGTTCCAAGAAGCGGCCAAAGAGCTGCCATCTATAGGCATATTTTCTAGTGGATAAATAAAAGAACCATTCTCTGAAGCGCTACCCCTACCTGCAATAGAGGACCAGTATAAGCAATCTAGTATTTATGCAAAAAGGACAATAATTACCATGCAGAGTCAGTAATGAACCAAAATATAAGTGCAACCAAAATAATTACCATTATGTTGATCAGTGTGCATATAATTCCAATTCTGCTCCTGCTCACTCCCAAACATCTGGGACATGCTATATAAATGTCTATGTCCCATAACAATCAGAAACAAACTCAGAAGTCAGAATTAAGGCAAGGGTGCGGTTTAACCAGATCTACAAATAACTAGCAACCTGCAAAGCAAGAAATCATTTGAAGAATTCAATATCTAAATATAAAGTAACTTCAAAACAATCATAAAACTCAGAATATAAACAATATAATTAGTTACAGGAGACCCAAGCATTTCCAAGACTGAAAAATTCAGAATAATAACACATGACGACAAAGAATAAATATAGAAAGTCTTCAATTAGATCTAAACTCTACAAAAATTGTAAATCAGAACAAAGGGGATTACTGAGTCATCACTGGCGATTATCTCCAAGAGAAAGTACAAATATATGCTGCAGATTACAAATTCTGGAACTCATAATCAATCTACATAAACTGGCCTGTAATACACTAAAAACTTGACACTCAGAGTCTCCTTAACCACAGGCTAATACCAACAGTCCAACGTAAGTCCACTCACTTGAAGCCATCTACTCACAGATTGTCTCTCCACTGAAACAGGGAGGGCTCGAGTCTGAGGCAATAAAACAAAGATGAGGGAAAAAAGCAAACACTTGGAAGAAAAAATGAGATAATTGAGATTCATATCAGTTAATGGCTTCTCACTCCATTTTGCCATGTGCAGAAGTAGGAATTAGATTTGACTAAGTGGTAAAAGAGGAGGGATTGGGAATAGGATGACTCGCACAACATTACCTGGACTAGATAACAAAGGGGCACTCAGCAGGTGTTAAGAGGTGTTAGCATTTTCTATTCTTTTCCTGCACTTGAGAAAGATGAACTGAGCACGGGCATCAGGCATGCGTATGTGCCTTGTTATCAGTAATTAGGACAAGAATTATAAAATACATACAAGTTACCATAATAAAATCCATCATCACACGTTTTTCTTGGAACTATATATCTGCACTACAATTTTTACAACATATACATATTTACAAGAGCTTTGCATGAAACAGAAATATGAAGGCTTTTAAAAATATTTGTAGTTTACCTTAACAGTATCTGAGGGGGCCTATATCGTTAAAACAATACACAGTTAAGTTGTCTACCTTATAACAAGTAAAAGATCCAAAAAAACCTGTTGATGTTAGAAAATATTTGCCACTAGAATGAAATGCCGTGCTGCATGGCAAAGATTTCCACAAATAAAGAAAATCAAAATAAAATTGGATTGTCAATATAGAAAAATCACAACCACCCGAAATATTCATAAAGATGATGAGCAACTTAAAAGAAGCTTGAAAACTTCAATCAAAGTTAAAGAAAAAGTCCGGGAAAGCATACCAGTTAAAGTGGGGAAATCAAAGATCATATATTCGAATTGCAAAAATATAAAACCAAATGAGTAAGCTGAGGTAAATAAACTCTAAAGGAAAACAATTATTTCAAATCATTAAAATGAAAGGAAGAAATAGATCGGAGGTTGAAAATTGGAAAATCTTAGAAATATAAAATATTAAAGAGAGTTCCAAATATGAAATTTGTAGTGAAAAAAGGTTACGAAAAATTAACAAATATTTAACAATGCTCAAAGGCTGGGTAACGTGTTCACCATATATTGACTTAATTAGCCACTTTATGATTAATTTCCTAGAAAGCAAAAATACATTTTGTCAAAAATTCTTTCCTCAGAGTTTGTCTTAGTTTTATATGCAAAAATACAATTTGTCAAAAATTCTTTCCCCAGAGTTTGTCTTAGTTTTATATGTAGAGTTGATGAGACATGATAATTTTAGTTAAGAATGTCATGATTGTGGGGGGAAAACTGCATTAGAACAGGGACAGGTCTCCTATTATTCATATATCATGGTGCTTGAGACATTTCCAGCGTCGGAATACAATCAAAAAATCACATTCAACAAACTAAATCGTGACTGTAAGATTGACAAAGTGCTTTCTACAAGATAAAGAAATAATACAAGAAAACACTCTAATGCCACAAAGCATACTAAAATACTAGAAAAAATATACGAGAATATAGAATTGAACAGAGGAGTAGGCTTCAGAAAGATAATTATGGCCCGTCAAATCATGTTCTCAAAGAAAGTATAGTTTGCGTTGATCGTTTAATTCAGCTTATGATCATTAGCGTACTCATAAATAAATTAATAAAATAGTAATATTCATGCAAAGCATCATGGAAAAAGTATAGATTTGCTTCACCTTCCAGTTAACTAGCTTCAAGTTTGAACTAAAGATTTCTGATCTTCAGTTATTAAATGATAAGACCTTAAAAAATAAAATATGAAGGTCAAGGCGGACAAGCGTATGAATATGAGTATAAACAGTACTAATAAAATGAATGGTTTCAGTATGTCAAGTTTCCCAAGGTGCAACATATTGAACACGATACAGACGGACAAGCATTTAAAGCATATTATTTTCTTTGTTTGTTTTATTAATAACTATCAGAGACATTCATAGCACTGTTCAGCTTGATACAGAATATGGGCCTAATATAAAACTATTAATGACAAATTAGAAGCTTGGAACATGGTAGTCTGACAAACCACACAAGGATATCAGCCAGAAAGGGAATTGTGACTTATGATTAGTTGTCTAAGCCAAGAATTCCATTAGGATGTATAAGCCCAAGAATGAAAGCAAAACTTATTTTTCCATCTGCCATAGAATAGGTAGAAGAAAATAGGCGTCCAACATTTGGATACACTCAACACCTTGTTGATGGTATCCCCAATAACCAACTGATTCTTATCAACCAGCATCAAAGTCAACAAACCCCAAGCTCAAGTGCAAATAAAGCATCACCCAGCGACGAATCCTTGCAAACATTTAGCACAATATGAAATCCCGCCAGCATAAAAGGTCAAGTTACATCAATTCAGGGTGGATGTATGAAAGTCTTCATCAGTGACATGTTCTAATGATCCAAATTGCTGTCGCATACTATAGTGAGGCAAAAACTCTATGAAGAATGTTACTGCTACTCCCATTGTACCACCCCACTAAAGAGCACCACCTCCAAAATAGCTACCATGGACATCAGGTTTAAAACAAATGATAAAAGTATTTAGCTAATGCTTTTACAACATCCATATTCCATCACCTCAGGGCATCAATTAGATCTAGAACCATGGTGTCCATGAAGCCCATGACATTCCCTAGATTGGCAGTTACACTCCACAACAACATCTTGCATCACTAGGCATCGGAACATGATAGCCCTAATGCTGCGATATCCTGAGCATAACTGCTAGGCCATTCACGCAAAATGAGTATCCAATCTAAGAAGATGGATATCCCTGATCTAAAGGCCATATTCCAGTAGAACAGTGCCTAGACAATTCTTCCGTTTACAGAGGATCTTTGATACTGTATACGTTCTTCTTCCTACATCAAAGTTGGCTTATAACATTCCATTACAGCAGCACATATCATGCTAATAAATCCTGACAAAGCAGAACATGCCACATTCATCAGCTCTAAAATCTCCCAACCAACCAAATATTCCAGCAATACCATCAGCAATTCAGATAATGCAATGGAAGAGACCAAATGAAGAAATTTACCAACTTCCAAAACCTGTACAAGGCAAATGCCAAGGGAGCACCAGCTTTCGCTAGTAAAATTGATTAGCTTTTCTGTATTATACGAACCTAAAGAAGGCACAGGGGACCACATGACAAAACCTTTTAAAGAGATTTACGAATACTTGAAGAGCGTATTGCTCTAGAAGAGTGGAAAACCAACAGAAGAGGGGCTGAAGGATACTATCCGAGGAAAACACACCTCACCAGCACATGCAGATTTATCATGTTTCATCTACAGCTCAAACTCAAGATGAAAGCATTAGGTCTGTATGGTATACTGTCAGCATCAAGAAACCTGCATAATAACAAACCATCTAAACCTAACTGAATCTAAGGAAATCTAAGGATAACCAGGGAAGGCCCCTGAGATAGATAATAATAATAATAATAATATTGCTTGATGAACATTTAGCATTTTGAGAAGCCATGAATACATCATCAATATATAATCAACCAAGCCCTAAATAACTAATTCGCACTCAACTGAAAGATCGGTCCTGTTATATGGTACCACAAACAAATTTGTTTAATTTATTTCTTTGAGAAGCCATGAAAGAACCAAACCACACGCACGAGAAAAGAAAGTGGTGATGCTGACAATTACAACTGAAGATATATTATGTATCCTGATTTCTGATTTACTAGAACGGTTGCACTACCAAATATGATATACGCCTTATCAGACCCTGATATAAACTTGGTTTCCTCTGTTGAACAGGAGGAGTACGGTAATGTTAATATGAAACACACAGCATAGTGACAACTAACAAGTGATAACTACCGTTATTACCAGGTATTTTAAGTATGTATAATTTGAGAGCTAAAGGACGTGAAAATGTGTAAAAACAAAAGCTCAAGCTCTGAAACGACCGAGGAGTTCAAATTTTTCTGAGGACGAAAAATTAATCGAACCGCAAAGCAAGAAATCCGTAAATTGAAGAAGAAAAGGAGCGGGACAGAAGCACCTAGAACAGCCTTCTCTCCTTCCACCAAACAAACAATAGAAGGCTGTTAAGATTATTTAAAGCTGGAGATGATGTATCAGAAGCAATCAACAAGAAGATCAGGAATGAAAAACCGAAACTGATCAACAGAAATATTGCGGGCACGCAGAGCAACAATTAACACAGAGAAAACGGTACGATTGTCCAGATTACAGCACAATACTGAGCATATAGAAAATTTTAAAGTAATCGTAGAGGTAGACGTGCCTTAGAAATCTGTTCGGCGTCGATGCTTGGTCAGTAACGATGTTGGATACGCAGGATGGTTTTTTTTTTTTGGGGGGGGGGGTGTTTTAAGAAGAGGGTGGAGGAGAGGTTTGATCAAGGAAGGAGACAATGCTGTAACAAAGCAGTTGTCCGCATAAATAAGGAACAAGAGGAGGAGAAACCAGCAGGAAACGCCAGCTTTACCGGCAACCGATACTATCCGTATGGATTCTTCCGGTCGCTTGGCAAAGAGTGAAAATATAATACTCCTATTATACCAAGGAAAAAAAAAAAGCAAAAATCGTCGTAGTGCGGACGGGATAATTACCAGTGCCACTTTTGAACTAGAATTAATTTCATTTTAACTCCCTGATTTTTTTGCCCCTATTTTTATAATTATATAACAAATAATTCCTTATATTGGATTTGGATCGTTCACTTTGCATCTTTGTATAGATTTTGACTCTCATCAAACCTTTGTATTGTCGTGCACGGATTCGATTAAAAGGTATTAGAGGTGGCCCGACGTGCAGCTCTTACTTTACTTTAGGAATAGACCTAACTCCAGATAGCTTTATTAAACCCTGTCTCAGGGTGTGCTTATATTTATCAGGTACTCCTTCTCTTCTATTTAATATAAAATTTATTTAACTAGTTTAAATAAATTAAAAAAATTAGACAAATTAATTAATTATAAAATACATGACTTGTTTTTCTTAAAAATATCATAACTATTTTTTTTAATACCCTACCTGTATCTTCTATCTTAATTATAGTTGATAAGAGTAATTTAGAAAAAATTAATAAATATAAAAACTAGATATTATATTTAAGATCAAAATTAATTCAACAATTAAGTTTTATATTAAAAATTAGACGAGTATTATTTATCCCCATTGCCCTAAAAAAAACACACAGAAGAAAATAATCTTTGGATCAGATTGAATGCATGAAAACCATAGACAAGGGCTGTTTATTTTGTCGACGAAGATTGTG